GAAAGAAAGGAAGAAAGGAAGAAAGGAAGAAAGAAAAAGAAAGAAAGAAAGAAAGAAAGTTCAGCTTGCGATTCTTGATGTAAAACCAACACATTATCATAAGTGTAGATTAGTGCAGATTTGGGATGGGAGCGCATAACATACTTGCCCTTGGTTGGAATAACCATGATTTATTTAGTTACCCCAGTTTGCTTGGTTCATGCTACTCCCTGACTCCTAAACTGATTCCCCAAGCAGATCCACTCAATGCACTGGGTTCAAACATGGTCAACATGTTGCGCTTCAGTGTGTTTTTGGAATGCATCACTTGGGTATAATAACCCCAACTGAGGGGCGTAATCTCCTCTGCCTTTTTCCCAAGAGGCTAAATTCTTTTCTTCATTGAGGAAAATAAATGGGAATTAAGGAAAAACTGTAGCAGTTCAACTTCAAGGCAACTCGCTTTCAGTTGGCCCTGGAATGCATTCAGCTTCCAGAAGATGTCATCGTCCAGGCCGGATGCAAAATGAAAGAGTAAACCAGTCTCCTTTGAGTTAAGCTGAGCTCTTAGTGATTTTTCCAGCCAACGGCCCTGGATTTCCTGAGAATTTCCCAGCTCTGCTTAGCTTTGGGGCTCAGACTAGCTAATTTATCACCAGCCATTTCTGTTCCAGCAACAGAAATGTTCATTGTATCATCAGTAGGAAAAAAGATGGAGGCCAAAGTGTCTAACAGATGAGAGCGAGAAGTTGATTCAGAAGGGAGACCTTATTCCAGTTTAAAGAGCCCATATTTTTTTTTCTGGTTGTTCAATTCAGAGCTTCTTTCCCAACCTGGTTCACAGCTATGGTAAACTGTAACGTGCTTGATTTTGGAACAGCACGGATTATCCTCTATTGTGGTTTATAACCCATAGCTTATAGTACAGTCTGCTTAATCACCACCCAACATCATCTCTGAATTCATGAGAACATCTGGAGATGATGTTCAACAAATGAGGTGATGCCACCAAAAAGATCCTTCTGGTGACTGGGCGCTTTATTACAGGGCATGTGGATACCTGAAGAACCGACTGCCGTAGTCATACAGTGTATAAAACCATAATGGGTTTGTAGCTTATGCAGTGAATCAGCACCGTGGTTTCTGAATCATGGTTTAGGATTTACAGTTATTGCAAACCTATGTATCGAATAGGTTTACCCATCACACAATGCTATGGTTCACCTCACCAAGCTTATTGCAGAAACCCCATTAGCTGGATTTTTATAACATGGTCAACTGTAAACCATGATTTACAAGCAACAATGGCCCTAACAAAACCCTAGGGCACGAAGAAGCAAGCCACATTTTGGCTTAATATCCTGTACAGATCAGGCCACAGTCGCTGATTCAATGCTATATTTAGTTGCTCACTTGACTCAGTAATCTGACTAAAAGCCACCTTCTCAGAACAGAAATAGCTTTACGATATGAACCAAAATGGGGAAAATATGTCTCATCATATTTCAGGGCTGATTTATATCCTACTGTTTTAAAAAAAATAGTTCTGGAATTTATCCCACAAATATGTGGCATACCACGTTAATGTAAAATCTCTTTATTTTCCATCCTACTCTGATTAGGGTCCTGCCATGGTGACATCACAGTCCAACTCTTTATTTTTTTAATACATATGAAACACTTTTCAGAAGTGATTACTTAAAGACACATCTTGCTGCGGTTTTCACAGAAGATTTTCTGATCATCTCAAGGACTCTGCCGCAGTTCTGAAACATGGGGGAAACTTACAGACTGAAGACAATGCACTGAAAAACAGAAAGAACGGGATGGTCTAGTTATCAAAAGGTGACAGATTCTAATGGAAAATGTAAGAAATAACTCCATGGTGGAATGATAAAGCTGCTGCCGCCGCTGTCCAGTCAGAAGAGAGGGACCAGAAGGGGTTATAATTTTTATCTCCCAATTATCATTTAACCTCAGATCTGTGCAGATGGTACAAGCAATTTCTAAACATTCACTCACTCACCTAATGATATTCACATACCAATAGCGATGGAAGAGATGGCAGAGGGGATAGCCAAGCAGAAGTCCTGGGCACACACACAGTTTGCCTATTATTTATTGAATAAACCATAAACTGGATGGATTTGCACAACATATTAAGCTATTAATCATGCTTTGTATGGCTCTGGCTTAGCACGAGGTATGCACCTACAGGTAGTCCTCAACTTACAGCCATTCATTTAACAACTGTTCAAAGTTACGACAGTGCTGAAAAAAATGACTTACAACCGGTCCTCATGCTTATGACTGTCTCAGCATCCCCGCGGTCACGTGATCAAAATTCAGGCACTTGGCAACTGGCATGTATTTACGACGGTTGCAGTGTCCCAGGTCACGTGATTGCCATTTGCAGCATTCCCAGGGGCTTCCAATAAGCAAAGTCAATGGGGGAAGCCAGATTCGCTTAACGACTGCAGGGATTCGCTTAACAACCGTGGTAAAAAAAAGGTGGTAAAATTGGGTGCAAGTCATTTAATGACCGCATCACTTAGCCACAGAAGTTCCAGTCCCAGTTGTGGTCATAAGTCGAGGACTGCCTGTATCAATAAATGAACTGCCACATGTCATTTAACTCAGACCTAAAGGGATGGAGTTACAACAGCTATGGTAGGAGAAATATGGCGCTTCTTGCAGATTACTGGAAGAAAGGAAAGCATTTTGGATCAGACTCATTCTGGCTCCCCAAAGCAAGCCCTTAATTTGTTTAGTACCCTGGTCATCTCTAGTTATTCTACATCTCCGTGCTATTAAGAGCTCCACCAACACCTTAAACTCGCACCGTCTGCACCACATTTTGTTTTCAGTCACAAACCACTGAACCAAGATTGGCTAAGATGAGGTCAATTCTTGCATTTGGAAACAGGCCCTGGCAAGTATGACATTTTCTCCACACTGTTTGCTCTGTTATTTGTCAATCCTCACACACAGTGGGAATAACTCACCATCCGTCCAACATAAAAAGGCAGCATTTCACACCCTAAGAATTCTTACAGAAAGAGAGCCAACCATTAAAGGATTGAAATCATTTGTTTCCTTACAAATCCTAATCTTGCAGGCTAGGGGGGACACAAAGCCACATGAAAGTCATGTCAGGCAGAAAGCTGAAATTGCAACGTCTGAGAGGCCACGTCCCATTCTGGACTTATGTACGAAAACCTGCGGAGCGCAACCTTCCTTGTGTGATTTGATCAGTGCTGACACTCAGCATGTAGATATTCAGAACAGGGAAGTGGATATGCAGAAAGACCTGCGGTGACATGAAAATAATGAAGAGAAGAGCAAGATGTTGTAATCTGGAAAAACAGTGCTCCAAAGTGTACACATAAATGTCGTCCAAAACAAAGCACATGCTTTTTCTTTAGACGCACTTTTCAAATTACAAATATATTCAAATCTGCTAACAGTATCCCCAACTAAAATTCATTTTACCGGGAAGCAAGTTTTATGAGACAGCCCTACTGTTGAAGATGTCTCCTTCCTGCAAACAGAATTATGCTTCCAACAATAAATATTCCCTCCAAAATGAAAAGATGGAAATTTATGTCCTCATAAGCAGCCGTTCCATGAAAAGCAATTCTTACCCGGAACAAAAACTTGCTGGGTTCCATTTGCCAACTCCCTGCCTCTCTGTAACAAAAACATTTCTGAAAAGTACATTTTCCCTTCTGTTGTTTTGAGATGTGCTACGTACGCACAGGCTTACAAAATGCAGAAGCTGCTCTGCCAAAAGGAAACGATCTTAAAAAGGGAAATGAACAGGGCGACACCGAGCAGATCATAGTACAGATTGGTTAACAGATGCAGCATGCTAAAATATTTGCTCCCTTGCACTCCAAGAGAAATGCATGTGAGCAGTGAGCAAGAGTGAGCGAGAAGATGCCTGAATTCTGCACGGTGCAATATGCTTTTCAATTGCTAATGAGAGTTCCCCCTTTTGCAAATGTACAAAGACGCCATGGTGCAGAGGGCTGGTTCCCAGGCGTGCATTGGAAATGGTAACGGGGTTGCTCTTCTGTTAACACCTCTCGCATTTTCAAAGCCTTGCTACACAATATCGGAGCGGATTTGGGGTATTTAGAAACATGAGAAACGGGCTGTGTTCATGCAACAGCTAATTCGGGGTGAACTCAACCATGGCTTACTGAGTTAACCCAACTTCCCAAGTTCATACGGTACTATGAATCATAAACGAACCACAGTCTAGGGAAGTACAACACACTAAGCCGCAGATGCGCTAATCACGTTAGCCTGTATACAATGGAGTAAAATTGCACACCTTTTGTCCTCATAACGTTTTTATGAGATCGCTGAGCCAAGACAGATTAAGCCATAACTTGGTTTAATTTGGGTTTAGCGTGCCACGTAAGACACCACACCAAGGTGAGCAACCTCATTTAATATAGTGAATGTTCCACGTTACGGTTGTGAAACACACATCAGCACAAAGAAGCCACTACCGTTCAAATGGCTAGAACAGTTGTGTCTTCTGCAAGGCTGATATACTACCCTGAAAACCATCCCCAGACATCTGTGCACGTGCACACAAATGACAGTTCCTCTTGGACTCCCAGTGAAGATAAGTGCTTACGCACACATGTGTGGGCAGAGAAAACCAGGAACAACTTTTGAATCAGACGTAAGCCTTGCAAGAGACACGTCCGCCTTAACCACCCAAAGAAAGATGTTTCGTCCATGCCAACCTGGACTGCAAAGCACCTCTCCTGAACGTTTTGCACAGCCCTATCCTGTATTAATTTGGTGACGCTTAACTTGGCTTGTTTGTATTCTGCAGCATGCATTGGCCCACGGTTACACACATGAAAGCTTATTTGGGTGTGATTTAGAGTGGTACGTGACCCCAGTGAACTATGGTTAATTTATCAAACCCTGGTTAAACAAATTATGCTTTAGCACAGCCATCTACTAAAATGGAATGTAATTCCAGGATTCAGAGTAGGCTTTTCACGCGCTCAAGCCAGGATTATCTCTTATCACCTTTCCAAAGTGACCAGGAGGTGCCTAGAAGGGAACCAGGAATACTCTGGCGCTCCACCCCGCCACCAGCCTGCCCAGGCTGCTGCCCTATTGGTCTTCAACCCCCCTAACCCCTCAGAGGGTTTGATGTCCACTCCAGGGACAGTCCTTCTTAAGCTACGATTTCTGGCCCTTCAAGGAACAGAAGGAAGGCGGAGCGGTTCTCCGAAGGGAAAGACCACCCTCGCGTTATCAGCCCTGCCAGGATGCCAGCCCTGCTCCTGGAGCCGAATTCTGGAACGGGGCCTTCTGACCTCAGCCCGCTTCCCGGGATTCAGCGGTGTCGAAAGCCAGGGCACCGCCGTCTGAGTTGAAACAACACACTTTTGTTTGCTTTAAGATTGGCATCGGCGAGAACTGCTTTGTTTGGGCAGGTACCCAAAGCGCGTCCCCAGACACGAAATCTGCCCGAAGAAAGGCGCCCGACCAAGGCACGACTTTCCCTTCCGTCCAAATCCGCCCGGCACCGCGGGGATCTCCCTGTCTTCAGCAAGCGCATCTCTTCCCAAGCTCGGTCGGTCGACGGGCTGCCCCGGACCCTCGATCGCTGCCCCCAGCTCAGCCCCCGCCACACCGCCCGGCTGGGCGGGGGGCAGCGGCAGTTCCGGGCTGGGCAGGGGGCGGGGGCATTTCGGGGCTGGGCAGGGCCGCCCCCTCCCCAGGGGACCGGGGCCCTCGCCCCAGCGCAGCCGGCAGGGCCACGTCTGGAAAG